GGGGGGGGGGGCAGTATTCCGACCGTCTGGCGCCTGCCCTGTGTGGGAACGTCTGCACCCTTCCAGCCCCAGCTTACTGACTTAACTGAAGCCCTGCTTGTCCCCCTCCCCACCCCTCCGGCCCAGTCACCGTGGAGACGCTCTTTGCTCCCATCCCATCCCATCCCTGTGTTTTTCCATTTATGAAAATCAGGAGCCGCTCCTCCTGTTTGCTCCTGCCTCTCGGATTCAGCTGTCCCGGCTCCCTGGTGCGGGGATCGTGCGGGGGGACGTCTCTCTCTCTCTCTCTAGGCGTTTTTTATCCCCCCTCCCTGCGATCGGAGGTCCAGCTTCCCCAGAATCGGCCGGTGCGGCGTCCCTGACGCTGAGTTTGGTTGTGTGGTTTACCGAAGGCGTGGGCGGCCCCTCCCCCCGTCTGAAAGTATGCGCTCCGGCTGCCTGGGCTTGCCCTCGAAGCCTGGCGCCGAGCTCCGGGGAAGACCGACTCCCACCCGTCCCGCCGCGGATCCCGGCTCTCTCCGGGAGGCTGCACGGCCTGCGGTCGTTTGAAACCTTCCCAGCGGTCTCGGCGCCTCCGGTTTCCCACGGCTCGGATTTTGGAAATGCGGGGAGGCCCTGCCCTCTTTGTCTTTGGCTACTCGTTTTATCCCGGACGGGGCCGCCTGGCGCTCTGAAAACGGGGGGGTCCCCCCTCCTCCCCCCTCCTGTTTAGGATCCGAGGAGGCGGAGAGGGAGTAGTGGAACAGGAACAGTTTCCTGCGCGGCCGGCGGTTCTCGGAGAGGGGTCTCCTCGTCTGCCCCCCCCCCCTGCCCCCCTCCTTCGTCTCTCTCTCTTGCGTGCTCCCTTGTTTTCCTTCGGAGCGCCCGCCCTGTGTTGTGGAAACGCCGTCGGATCTCCTGTCGTCGTCGCCGTGGAGACAGCAGTGGGGGGGGGTGGGGTTCTGGGTTCTCGAAGAGATGTCCGCCCGTCACTCGCCTGCGGCGTCCCAGATGCCCCCAGCGCCTCAGGAGGGGGGGGCGCCCGACAGGTGAGATTTCGCCAGTGGGCACATGCAAGGCCGATGGCGAGAGACTTCCCTGGTAGGCCAGGCCGAATGCAAAAATGTAGCCTAACATAGGGCTGGGCGATATGGCCCAAAACATGATCACGATAAAAGTGTTCATATCAGTCGATATCGATAACGATCGCGATAGATGTCAAATCATTATTTCTTTCAAGTTTAAAGGCAGGTTTTTTCTCCCGAGTGAAAGTTGAAGAAAGCCAGACAGCGAATTGGGGAATTAAACAACTCTTTATTTTAAGAACACGACAAACACTTGCCAAATGGCGGAAACATTCAACAAATCCGAGGGAGAGAGTGTTCAAGTCTTTTTTTTTTAATGTCAAAATATGCATGAGTAAAATGTACAAAATAAATGTCAAGGAATTAAATACTGCAGTGTGATAAAACGCACATTGAAGATGGCTCAGACAGCCTGCAAAGTTTCATGTCTGATCGTAAAAAGCCCAGAAAAGTTGCTTTCTAGGTTTGATCATTCCTGGGCTCGGAGCAACGTTCCCAGACAGGCCCTGAACCTTTTTAGGCAGGTGTGTAGATGTCTTTTTTTTTAAAAAAAAGGCAGATTTCAGGACGTGGCCTGTCCTTTTCGAAGCGTGCTCTAGGTGTTCAAACTCCTAAAGAAAAGTCAGCGACCAAATCGTCCTGCTAGACGTCTGTGGGCCTCTGTGGGCCTCTGTGGGCCTCTGTGGGCCTCTGTGGGCCTCTGTGGGCCTCTGTGGGCCTCTGTGGGCCTCTGTGGGCCTCTGTG